GCTTGGAATTAATATTTGCAAAAGTAAAGTCCAATAATATTGCAGCCGCTTCAGGCAGGGAAATAGCCTATGGAAATAGTAAATACGTAGGATAGGTGGAGGGTTTTGAAGCTACAAATATTTATAAAACTAACTCTCTGCAACACGATTTCGAAATTAGTTATTAATAAATTTTATTTATTTATTTATTTTTATGAAATATAATTATAAATAATTACATTACATTTAGCAAGGCAACTAGTAACTAAGACTATCGGCCTGACAGTTATTAATAAATATGTAGATACATTTTATTGAAATAAAGCTTCAACCACGACTTACGATAACTGCTGTCTAACAGGCTAATATAATTATACCTATAGTAAGTCTCGTTTATCTCTTCGATCTGAAAACGGATTCCACGTAGTGGCAATTTCAGTTTGGGGAACAAAAGACGATGCACCAAACCATTGTTGACTTGTGTGAATGTTAAACTCATATCTCATCGGCATTTATAATGCCCTCCATGAATGTAGATAGAACCTCGTACGATGAAGCATGTCCAAAGAGAACTGTCGAGATGAGGAAGAATGCGTTTCATACCCAAAATATCCACGGAGATTTCGAAGTCTCTTGCCATCCCTCTAACTCTTTGTCTCTTTGGGACAATATTTGTACCAAATCATTATTAGTCCCAGATATCTAGATTTGACCAGCTGTTACTTCGTTTGTAATTTTATTGGAAAAACAAAATATATATACGTTTACGAACCTTGAAACACTGGCGAGCTTAAGTCTAATATTCATGATGAAGTCATCACCATCACGCCAAGATATTCTAAACATTATATTAATACCACTTTTAATCCTGTAGTGGTGCGACATTAGGGGTTCCGATAAACGAACTGCTCTTCGAAGCCATTTGGAGAATATCAGATACATTTTTCAAAAACTGAGGATATGTATGTTCATACTTTACAGGGTCTCCGACTCTTCTGGATGTTGAAGAAAACTTAATCAGTATAAAAAAATTGTAGAAATAAATCGTAAAGGCTGCCGCACCTATATAAAAAATTGCCCACCCTATATGAATATGAATAGGTTTGTTTAATGTGTCCAAAACCGTGATTATTAAAAGATGTTTATAAAATCAGTAATAATGATAATAATAATAATACAATAATAATAATAATAATAATGGTAATTATAATTATAATAATAAAGCCTATAAGTACACAATCAGAATTTTGAAATAAATGTTTTTTTAATACTTTTTTATTTATTTATATATATATGTAAGTGTGATTAATATTCCTCTGGAAAAAATTTGTGAACTGTTCAACCCCTCTCTGCAACGCAAATTCTTATAACGAATTTTCAAGGACAGGTTCATTGCACTCTGCACTCGAGCGGTTGACCATTTGAGTGTTTATTTATCTGAATGTCAACATTAATTTTATGCCCCCGGAGAGTAAGAGGGGAAAATTGGCACCAAATTTCTTCAGGCTGTTGCATTTTTAATAAATTTACTTTGCTTTGAGTTTTATTTGGATTCGGCAGTATGTCACTCTACTTTTTATATTAGAGTCACTGCGAATGAAAGGTAGTACGAAGACTTCAAAATATGTTTCCCCGTTTTCTGTGGGGAATGCTTGACTCACTTTTAAAGAAACGCCTAATATACTTTATATACTAGAGTTACTACAGGGTCCGGCATTCGAAGTGTAACCAATTAAAAAAGCCATAAATTCGGTTCAGGAAATTGTTTTTATTTATTTTAAAGTCTGAAAATAATCATAAATTTAGGGTCAATTCACTCACGAACAATGGCTTTCTTGAGCATCTCGAAACTGGTGTATTTTTTACTTCGGACCTTGCTCTCCAAAATCGCCGAGAGAGAATAATCCATTGGATTCGCATCTGGTGAATTCGCGCATTCGAATTCTTTAGCCATTTGATTGGCACTTCGTCGTGGATTTCGCCCGAGTCGCTTCTTAATTTTCCGAACCATCTCACGGGACGTTGCAGTGTTTTGATGACAACTTCCATGGCGTTTTGCGATGCTACCAGTATCATCAGCTACGAGTGATGGCGCGACAAACAAAAACTTTATTGACATTAAGGTGTTTGAGCTCACGAACAATTGCTAGCTGTTCCAGCTAAATATAAAGCACTATTACGTTTGAATTCCATCGCTGATTTGGCAAAACGCTTTTCTACACTTATGAACAATACTCCGAACTGTCATTCAGCAAATTTATAAACAGCTGATTACAGTGCGACAACTGCGCGAACTTTCTGAAGTTGGATACACTTCGAGTGCCGGACCCTGTATGAGAAAGTTATACATCGTCAACTATTTTCAAAATTATCCATAATGACAAATTATAAATAACACTTCAAACAACCTCTTACTTGTATTTTAAGGGGGTATTCTCCTCTAGAAATCAAAATTTGGGCAGTTTTTTTAATTTTATTTAAAAAAAAAAAACCAAAAATATTTTTACCATCCATTTTTGTATGGTGCTTTCTTAAGAATACAGAAAAAAAATTTTACAAAAAAATATTAAATATTGGGAGAGACAGGTGTAAAAAAAAAAGGCGCATGATGGTGACATTGATGAATTAAAAGAAATTCTTAATCAGTAAGGATGCTGTTATAGTCCTTATTTCCGGGAACACGAAAAATTTTTTTTTATGAAAATGGCGACTGCCTGAAAATCAAAATCATTTTTTACGCTTTTTTTTTTGAAATTTCTGAATTTTTTTTTTAAATATTAAAAACAAAGGCTTAAGGATTATATAAAGATAAAGGATAAAGGATTATATAAAGAAGCTTCACACAAAACTTCAAGTAAATGGGTTGTATAGAACTTGAGATAATGCCGGCACCGTGTGGAAAAAAGTAGTTTCGAGAAAAACGGGTTAAAAGCGGGAGTCTACCTACCTACCGGGCTAGGTACTGCGTCACTAAAGGAACTGTAGCTCTTAAAATAATTTTAATTTTTAAAAATCCTTTGGAGCATATGTTCTTAAGGGTCTAAGCGTTTAACATATGAAAAAAAATCGAATTTTTCAAAATTCTAGAGTAGAATACCCCCTTAAAAGATACATTCTTTCGGATTTTCTTATTTTTGTGTCGCGAAGTTTATTGAGTCAATGGTCTAAACCCCGGCTAAATATACAGACCTGTGTACAATAGATCCAGTATGAATTATTTTTAGCCACAATTTTTGAAATCGATTCGAGAATAAAGCACTTATCCACAACACTTGTAAATGGTTTGTAAATATATATACAAGTAAACAGTTTGGTTGCAACGTCCAATCAATTTGAAAATATAAAAATAGTTCTATACACCAACACATTTATCTAACAATGTGCATGTATTGAGCAAAATCAGTGGTCTGCAAGTAATTAGTTTGCATGGAAAACAAATTGTCTGCCTACTTAAAACTCGTAGATGACTCATATATAAAAAATCCCTAAAATTGAACGAACCAATATGAAGATACTGAATAAATAAAAATAGTAGTCACTAAGGTTATAACTGTATATCTAAAAGAGCGAAGATAAAAATATATTTAGTAATGTCTACACAATTTGAAGTGGGTTTTTCAGTAGAAAAGTTCATATTAAAAGAGCTGACATGCTGACATGTTGGTTCATTGACCATTTTGAAGTTGAGCATTAAGCAGTACTCACTACCGAACAGTTCCGTATACAAAATTGTTCACTTTGCTCATCTGCCAAACCACAGCTTATATTTATAGATACATATACGTATAATCGCCTTTCAGCACATGAACCTCAGTCGCTTTTATATTAATGCTATTATTATACTTCAGTTAAAAAAAGAAAAAAAAAAAAAACGTTGACTGTGGTTATTCAGAAGCTGTAATACGCTTCATAGATAAATAAATTTATTATAAACAAACTCGATTGCTATCGTTCAGTAAGTACAAGTACGTCAGCTACATATGCAGAATAGTGGCCCTACATTTTATGTTCCTATGCATTGTTTGGAATAGCTCTATTGTCTTTATTTCGTTCATATTTTAATTTACGGTTGGAAAACTGCACAAAATGTACCACTTCATATAATTCTCTGCTCTGCTCAGTCCAAAGGAGTAGTTTTTGACAAGAATTAGTCGAGAGAGAGGCATTTGATTTGTTCCATATTTAAATCACTTTATGATTATTACTTTTTCGATAATGATCATATCTCAATTCTCAAATAAGTACAAACAAATTATATTCAATATTAAATCACAGTGAAATCAAGTTGGTTTCTAAAATATTAAATATTTCATTCAACGTCAATCTTAATTCTAGTTAATGAAGTATGAATTTGATCAAGCTAATCTCGCCCAATACCACACAAAAGTTTCAAGTAAAACTTGTATCCAATTAACATATCTCATACAAATCCTTGATATTCGCACCATAGCTGGCTAATTTGCATAGAGAACAGCTGCACCAAAAAATTTCTGAACAAACATGCCAGAGGAATGTTTGCGCCTACAACATCAACCACACATACATATAAACAAATTAGTATATATCACGGCAAGCATCATCCTGAGTTGGAATTCAATGTCAGACGGTTTTGTGTTTGCTCGGTTCTGCTTGTTTGGCTGTAAATCACTCGCTAAGGATCCTTTCGCGCTTCATTTTGAGTCACCTTCACGGCATTGACATTCGTCTGCGGCAAGGCGAGGCGGCGGGTGAGCGGCAGTCGGCACTTGTACCAGCGGTTATAAGCAGAAGAATCTCAATGCTTGTTTATACAAATTTACAAATATATAAAGAGAGCGAAGCAGGGTGTGTAGGAATAACACTCAATTAATAAATTTACGATTTCATAAGAAAAGTTGACTTGATACTATTTAAAGGGAAATAAGTAGAAATTACAGGTTTGCTAAAATAAATCTATCATTTTGGCATTAAATTGATGTTTTTATTTATTATAAAAAATTATTCGAACTACTTACTTATGTCAAATATACAGTATTTTGTTCCATAACTTCTTAGCATTTTGAAGTTAAGGCCTGGACTATATTAGCAAAAAACTGATAAAGTCACTGGACATTAACAGGTAGTAATCAATTACTGCTAGCTGTGGCCTGTAAGGTGGATGCATAAGCACCTCTCGGAGCTGCTGGCGTGCCACTACCGATTTGTGCGGCCAGGTATGTTCTTGATTGAACACAATTCCTCTCTTATTTGACAAAGCTGGACACGTATGAGTATTCTCCTTGGAACGGTTCAAATGTTGACACTACAGACCCGAATTAAGAGTTTCACCGCTAGTGATGACTTCTTACCAATCACACCAAACATTTTCAATGACCTTCTTTATCATCCATCCTGGCTTGCCTAGCACTTTAGCAAAACTTGGATGCTTTCTAATAGAAATCTTTTAAGAAATGTTGAGAAAGTATATGTGATACCTACCAAGACCCAGAATATTGCTGATTTTTGCGCTATAATTGCGGCACCCTGTATCACTTTCATTTCTACCGTTGTTTGATTTGAATTTCGTCAAACTGCAAATAGAAATATTTATGGCTGAAATACAAAATGGAGCATATAAAATAATGGCATATATTCTGTCAACGCTGGTTAGTAGATAAGTGCGGGCGGCGCCATTTAAGTTGCTGGCGGCAACAGATTTGAAATGCTTGTAAAAGTGTTTATCTTCACTACTTTTAATTGGTTTTATTGTAGTTTTCGTTTGTATTCATTTCATTTGCTGCTTTTTCTCAAAAGCAACAATAATGCGCTTCAGTGGGTGTAAAATATATTAATGAACTGCAGTGACAAATATCTTTGTAGCGCTAGAAGAGCATACGAGCATTTCAAGCTGAGGGTCAACCAAAACAAATTACACATACAAATATGGCTTTCTTTAATGCACAAACGCGCAAATACATGCAATGGTATGTGGGTACAGAGCAGTCATATTTAGATTTTTTGACGATCAGGCCACAGTGGCAGGTGTCCACACACGTTTCCGTTAGCACATTTCTAAACGGCACATATTTATACACATATGTACTACAATAACGTGTTAGCTGAAATACTTGGCACACATACAAACATATGCCTGCATATATGTGGCTGCCTGCAGTGGCATAGTGACAGCACAGCGGGGCGTATGAGCAACGTGCAGAATTTTACGCTCCGTGCTACTCATTCTGTTCGTCCTTCATAATGTCGCAAATGACAATGTTTACATTCAATTTAGCGGTATAAAAATTAGAAAAAAAGAATTCGAATAGGAAAAATAAACTAAGTAAATAAATTCTGTTGTGAATAATAATTTACTCGTGCATGCTCTTTATATCTAATAAATTGTATCTACGTACATATACATGTGCATATAAAATAATTTTTAATTGAGACTATTTTTTCCATAACTTATACTATTTATGAAAATATATGATTAAATATTTTGAGCTATATTTTTCAAATTAAAAAACAGAAAGTATAATTTTAAAGTACATAACATTACATGCACTCATACATGCATATTTTGCTATGAAATGCTGCACCTAATTCCCTGCGGTTAATTGGATCAATTCGTTGATATACTGCATTCAAACGCATACACGCACACTGGTTTGGCGTAATAATGTTTATGTATGTATTATATATGTGTGCATAATTCTATATACATCGACACTTGAGTGCCAGAAGCCACAAGCGAAAACAAGAAATACGTAAAAGCTAACACAAATCGTTGTTGATACTTGAAATTCAAAGCAAACAAATTCTAAGTTGGGTAAATAAACGCGAAGAGAAAGAAGAAAAATCGGAAGATTAGGACAAGGCGCACAAGGAAAAGTAAATAGTAAAGATTATATAAATAAATGGTATTTAAATCCCATAATGAATTAGCTTATGTATTTGTGTGCGAATTTTCTGCTAGCGCTTACAAATTTACGTTTTTATGTACGTATGTTTGTATGCGTGTTTGCAGAAAATATTTTTTGAAATTTTTGTACACACATATTTATGCGCTATATATACGCTACATACCGATATTCACCAAGTGCTAAGTAGGCGAGCCATTCTCTGCTATGAGATATTTTTCGAGAAAAGGGACGCAAAAGAAAATATCTAATTATTTAAATATGTAGGTTTATTAATGTATGTATACATGAATTTATGTCTATACAACATGCACTTATACAATTAACCCCTAAGGAACATTTGAGTAGACGTCTATGTAAAGATATATGTATATATTAATATATATATTTATATGTATTGGTTGATTTTTCGAAATTGGCTTTCATATGTGCACTACCAAAAGAAAATCTGGACACATGTACATATGCTTATATATGTACGTTCGTATAATAATAATTACAAATTTTTAGCTGGAGTGGTACCTCTTCCCTAATGCACAATTTTTGTTTCCTTTAAGATTACCTTAACTTAAAAATTCAAATTTTTCCCCGAAAAGTCTCTTTAAGGTATAGCCAACATTTTTGCCATCAAACCTTTTCTAAGCTATTGTTAGCTGTTGAGCTAAGCTGTTTTATTCTTTTCTCCCCTCCTTGTTTTTCCAACGGAGTGGAGGCCTAACTCTTCCTATGAATTCATCGTTCCATCAAATGTGGTACTCGCCATTGCCGCTCACCATCTCCTGATGTTATGCTTTCAATGACATTCAGCAGGTCGGACAACGGTTCCCCCCCATGATTTCAGTGTGCTCTGGGCATCAGTTTATAGATCACCTCTGGGGGTGTTATAAGATTATGCTCCGGCGGCTTCGTATCTTGAATGCAACAAGATAGTGGTCCGAGACAATGTTAGGACCTCGGTGAACCCTACCGGTAGTAAAATTATACGACTGTAATACGTATGAACACCTCAAGGACATGTGGACAGGTTGAACAAATTTTAATAGTAAAATTCTCAGACAGACACATCATATTGAGGAAAATTGGGGGAAGAATCATATTGAGGAGGTTTGAGAAAGTTTATAGTGATAATAATTTGAAGACAGTTGTGTCTCGCTTATGCACTTTAATGTTTTGCTATGAAGGGATAATCAGCATTTGGTCAATCACTTGATGATCCCAGTTGGATAGCTTTAAAAGTATTCGCTCTTTCAACCAAGTCAAATCAGTTTTATGCTGCGGACCTGTCATTGCTTTGTCGGTGCAACTTCAACACTTCGCTGAAGAAGATATGCGTTAAAACTTTCACAACAACCACTTATATTAATTTAATAAATCTTTTTAAAAAATATTTCCAAGGCAACCACGGTGAACATTTCAACAATGCCGTCTCTTTACTGCCACATAGCAGGCGAGAGGGAAAAGGTCCATTATATTGATTAAAAGCTGTTGTATGGAACTTTCCTATTTTCAATTGCGCGCCCTTTTCCTTTTTTATCAAAATATGTTCGCCACAAAACAAACAACAACAAATCTTTGCAAGTTCCTTCTGCCGCATGTCACCTTTCTATTATTTTCTGCTCTCTGCGAAGTTCAAAGTGTGAATAACATGACCTAAAATATTTGTGCGCGAAGGAGATTAGAAAGAGGAATTGACACTAGGCAGAACAATGAGGAAATGCTGCCAGAAAAAAAATTATTTAAAAAGTCCACTTTTATGCAATCTCCTTTGCTAAAATAGGTGAGAAGAAATAGAAATTTTGCTACGCATAGACAGACAAAGTTGACATTGGAATTTCAGTTGGAGCTGAGAGATGAAAAATGCAGACAAATAGAAAATATTTTTCAAAGGTGATTGATTTTGTGAAAATATGAAGTTCGCTCATAATGTCTGGTTTCACAAAGCAAAAAAATTTGAAAGGGTCAAGAATTCCAAATATGCCATTTGGTCGCTCAGTTAAACCTTTTCCAAACTTTCATAAAAGAAATTATAATTTAACGGAAAATTTACTTCATCTCTTTATGACGGAAAACATCATTGAACCAGTTTAAGTTCGGTGCAAAATTGTCAAATTTAAAATTTTTGCAATTTTTTTTCAAATTTTTATATTTTTGGCAAATTTGTCAAATCAGTTTCGAATTTATAACTTTTGCGAAATTAAAAAAAAAAAAAATTATTTTCAAAAACATTAATATCTTCAATAAGAATTTTCAGAAACAAAAGAGAATTAAAATTCTTTTTCTTTTAATATTTTAATTTAATTTTGCCAATATTTCACTTGTGCTGCTCAATTAGCTCCACAATTTTGCACATCTGTGGAAATTTTCAGTTTTCAGCTTTTATTTTCTTTTTGTTTTGCACTTGCTTTTTGCGTACCCATCAGCGCTTTGATAAATTGCGCGCTCCTGCCAATTCGATTACGTCCGCAGCTGAGGAAAAAATCGCGCAGAAACAAATAAAATACAAATCAGCTGTGGCTGCCAGCGAACGTCAATTGCGCGAGTCATTGGCAACTACTTTTCAAGTTGACAATTTGCTTCCTTTCTTTGGATGTTTTCAAATATACTGACACTAATTAATTGGGTCATAAAAAATTGTTTACGATTTTCCAACAAAATACATATATTCCTTTCCTATGTGTACATTTGTTTATTTGCGCTGAGGTGTAAACAGTTCTAATTCAAGTTTATTTAATTAATTTAAAATAATTTAAAGTATAATATTTGTTTACTTTTTATAGATATTTATTCTGGAAATTTTTTTTCTTTGCAGGTATTTATTGATGAAATCTAACCGCTTAATAATAACAATACAGTGCCACGGCTGAGAAGGCAGTGTTAATATACCGGTATTTACAGTCGATACTAGTTTAAATACAAAAATTTAAAATTAACATAATCAACTTAAATTTTTCCTTTCCCCCCTTGGGAATAGTCTTTTCGTATTTCTAATCAAACCTCAACTTATGTTTTTATATTTATACTAATAAATAAATAAACAAATATGTGCCATTTTGGTCGATCGCGTTTTGCCATTTTTCCGTTAGAGATTTATTCCATCAGTGTAAATCGAAATTTCGAAATTACCAGAACGGAAGCGAGCGAACCGTTGTTGTGCTACACGAACTTATACAGCATCGCCTCCGTAAACTTCACAAATTTAATTAGAAAATACGAAAGGACTTCGACTACCCAAAATTATAATAACACAAGTATGCAAAATATAAAAATTAAGAAAGTGAAAGTATTGAGGGTTAAATATTAGTCATATCGATGCCAATAACAGAGTAATGTGATTAGCAAGAGATGACTGAAATTCAAAACCGAAACACGTGTTTAATTCTCAATTTTCGATCATTACCCCTGTCGGTCAGCTTGTCAAGCTCTTCGTACTCACATATTTTAGTCGCTCTCCGTTTTTGTCTGCAAATGCGTCTTGCTTCCTTCTTCCATTCTCGGTATCTAACTCGTCCCGCAGGTATTGTGGTCGATTATAACGTTGCGACGTGGGCAGTCTGTCTACGACACGGCACTCCTCATCGTACCAGCTGTTATTGTGCACTGGTTTCGTTTGCAGCTGTATGTAAGGAGCTGGAAATGCCGTACCACAGTTGCTGATGAGTGCTCTCAGAGAGCATCTGCTCGACGTCAATTCCTTTTGGGGTTTGTTGATGTGCGTTTGTTGTGCCAAAGATACCTTCTTTTCCCACCCTGGCGTTAAAGTCGCCAAGTACGATTTTGACATCGTGGCGGGAGCAGCCCTCATAGATTTGTTCTAAGCGCACTTATAAAAGACAACTTTGGTCACATCGTCCTCCGTCCTTCCATCGGGGCGTTGGCGCAAATCAGCGATATGTGAGGAACTTGTGGATTGCTGACAGACGTTGGTCAACCGGGTTGAATCCAGGACTCGGCGACGGAGTCCACTATGTAAATGCCACAAGAACTTACTCGTTTCAGTCCTCGTTCCGTCCATCGCATTTTTTGGACAGCGACGATGTCAGCCTTTACTCTTACGAGGACATCAACCAATTCAACATAATTATATTTTTTTTAATTTATGTATTCTTATATTTCTTTTTTATTTTCTAAACATTTAACTTTTAAGCTTTTCAATAACGAAAAAAGTTCTTTAAAGTTCACATACCAACTTATTCATTGCTATATCGAGTTCCCTTCTGCTAAGAAACTAAATCTGCAAAAAACTATGCTCAAATGGATTTCCACTCCGCTGTACTTTCTTTAACGCTTATATATATATATGTTAATAATATATTTATAAACCACACATGTCTACCATAAATAGTGGCACTTCTACAGCAAGGATGTAGTAGGATGTATTTTCTTCTTTCATGAACTATTTCTATTTTTCCGTTATTTATAAAGATTCTGTCGCCAAATGCAATTAAACAACGCATGTTCTCTAATTCTTTAACAAGCACTCACCCAGCCCAGCACCGTTAGTCAAAATTTCCTTATTGATCTGCCAACAGGCGAAAAATATGATTTCTTCTTCTTTCGAAACTATTTATTTGTTGCTGCTTGAGCAGCCAACGGTGATATTAATTAGCGCATTTGCCGCACTATCTTACTTACTTGTTGTTGTTGTTGGTGTTGTTGTGCCTTTATTTATGCATTGGCCCGCAACTGTTGGCAATCATTTGCTGTGTGCCACACTTTTGCTTTGCCCCTCCTTAGAACTATCCCCTTTCGTCGCCACTCCGCCCCCCTCGTGCGTCTCAGCTGCCGCATTTTATTAATCTGTCATTTATAGTTTTATTACATTTCGGCTGCTGTACACAATTGCATTTGTTAAATTTAATTTGAAATCTAGAACGCCTGCTTTTTTCGCTTGTTGATTTGTACCGTTCACTGCTGCTACACTGTTGTTAGTGATGCCTAATATTAAGTGCGCTTACAAGACACTTAAAATCGCTGCACTCAGCACCTTGTGTCCGATGTGAATGACTGCTTTCGACGGCTTTCGGTCCGGCCCCGCCATTGTGTGCCATAAATTAGCGGAAAGGAAGCCAAATGTTCAGGCAATGAAATATGTGAGGTTATTTCCGTTAACCGATTTGCTTTTCGCTGTTGTTCTCTTGTTGCAGCATCGCAGCGCGCAATATCGCAACATTTTGCTAATGAAGGCGCCCTTAAAATACAATTTGTTGAATATAGATCATTTACTGTTTTAATTACAACAAAAACACTTAAATACAAGCTGTCTGCTTAAGTGGTGCTTCGGTATTACAATTATAAAGTGCTTTTGGTCACACTAATTAATAAATAATTAACTGCTACGAGCCACTGGAAAGATTTCAAAATAAATTAAATTTATCCTAAGATGTTAAAAAGTAATCCTAACATAACTTTTTTTAAACCAATATACATATAGGTTATGCTAGTTCAGGTTAGATGGCTGATGTAGAGAAACTTCACGTGGACTGTATGTAGTACTTTGTGAAGTCATAGCCTGTGTTTGAACTTATAAATTAGCAAAATGCTTAGTAGCCAATACAAATTTGCGCAGCCGTTTCATTTCCATTTTCGCCAGGTCGGTGAGATATCTGAAGATCGATCTTGAGCAAAAAGACTTTTGCGAGAGCGCATATCAAGAAGTCTGAAACTGGAGTTAATAGAGAGCTCCTGATAGGAAACCCTGCACCAACCTTCCCTCCAAGCTTTGACTCAATCTCTTCCTCCAGCGGTTTATTCTCACCCAGAACTTCGTCGTCGGTATATGGGTAGAGAAGGAGCTGCCAGAGTTCGGATCCACCAATATATGGAAATATTAGTCTTAATACCATTATAATAATTAGAAATAAGCTAAATATTATGAGAAATCTTTATTTTGTACTTAATATCGGGATTTCCGATGGTTTCTTGGACAGTACGTATAAAATCCCAATGATACGCCTGAAATATAACATTAATTTCACTTTCCAATATCAATATGGACACCTGAGAATAATTATAATAGGTTGTCAAAAAAGTCTTGCGGTATTTTTTATTGAATTTTCAATTGATCATAAAATTTTTTTTGATGACTCATGCCCAGCTCTTGGCCGATGCTACGGCTGCTACTAAGCCGGTCTCTTTCGACCAATTCAGCGATTTTATCGCAATTTTCGACGACAGGCCTTCCAGAGCGTGGCACATCTTCGACCACCTCTACACCAGAACGAAAACGTTGAAACCATCGTTGTGCGGTGGAAATGGAAATTGTATCGGGTCCATAAACTGCACAAATTTTATTGCCGGCTGGAGATGCATTTTTGCCTTTGTCGTAACTGTGAAATATGCTGTATTTTCTCTTTATTTTGCTCCATGTTTGCGACGCTATAACTCACGAACGACTTAAAAGAAACGACAATCAATCAAACACGTGTTAGCGCGTGAAATGAGCTTTCCAAAAAGGTATAGCATGACCCGATGCGACGAATAAAATGAGAACTATAAATATACTTATTAGAATATGTTATGCTATAATTTAAACTACAAAACAATAAAAGTCGTTAACCGAGTCATTATCCTTCGCATATTCATTGTTTATAGCACAACGAGGTATAAATAATGGAAGGGTATATGCTATAATGCTCCGATCCGAAAAACTAGTCGTGGATTGTAGCGATGCCTTGAACAATGTCAAACTTCGTGAATATATCTTGTAAGAGAGAAAGTTTTCGATACAACAACTTGATATGTATATCAATGAATATGATACGAGTATAGTGATCCGACATATGAGAAACTTTTTGGAGAGAAAAGGTCATGTGCAAAATTTCAGCTCGATATTCAATAACTGAGACACTAGAAACTGAGAAAAAAATATATATTTGTACGTTATAGGGTCCAGTTGTTACAAACTTCCTGACAAACTTAATATACCTTGTTCAGTTTGTAACAAGTTGAGACATATTCTGAACGTGAGCACTTAAGAAAATCAATTTAAATCATTAAAGAGCTACTCCTAACTCTTAAAACCACCATTTCTTTAACAATTTTTTCTCATATAAAAATGAAGTATTTTATTAAAATTTTTAATTGCTACAAAAATACACTATTAACGAAAAAGTTCTGAAATTTTTGGGAAAAAATATATTTTAAACTCGGCCAATACGACGGTATTTCCGGTGGCTCCACGGAAAAGATATGCGCCCTCAAGCTTCTCAAGGCTGTATCTCCAAAATTATTACTCGGATCGACTTAAAAATTTAAAGTGATATTGTAGAAGTGTTGTAGAATAAGACAATAAAAATTGAGTTTTTGATGCCGGTAAACCCATGTAATCCATTAAGCTGAAATGAACCATTATGCACCTTAACAGAGCGAGAACGAGGTCAAATGAGTATTTAAACTGATCTTCAAATATACACACAATTTTTGAAAATCAGCATATATTATGATTCATAACGAATACTTAATTTTATAAAAAACCGGTTCGAATTTTTTTTATCATTGAAATTGTTAAAACAAGTAAACACAAGAGCTCAAAACATAGGAGTACCACGATGTCCCATACGAAAATCCCCTACTTTGATCCCATTCCATAAAAATATAACAAAATAAACCAAGAAACTGAAAATCTAAAGTTTTTGTCTAGCCTTTCAAAACCAAAAAGCTTCATAAGCAAGTAAAGCTCTATCGGAACTACTGGACCAGTGATATGTAAACACAAGGAAGACAATAAAATCGCATTCCACAATCGAAAAGAAATGACTGACCAATCGGATTCTCAAATGTCCCATTCAAAAAGTTATTTCATATAAAGACATATTGCATACGTCTTTATTGCTTCACCAAGAGCAGCCACCAAATACATATGCCAAGTTTTTACTAGACCTGCAACGTAAGAAATATGACATCAATACATTGTATGAGGAAACTAGAAATTTATATTAGTTTGAGTAAGGCCACTAGGCAGCTGACAAGTATTTTAGCAAATTCCCTTAAACTGCTTCGTTCCGAGCTTTTGTCTGCCTTTACTGAACAGCAAACCGAGAATTGCTTACTGACGCATAAAAACGCCAATTTAGTGTCTTTGTAGCAAAAAGGGGGTAAAGCAAATGTCGAAGAATGAAATGCAATAGAAACGTCATGCATAAGCGAGCAAAGGGAAACTATTTATGCTGAATAAATAAATTGCATTTTAAATGCTATGAAATACGCGCCGAGGAGCCGAAGACTCACATACAATTACAAGCCTGCAGAACCTGCGCGCCCGCCCCCACAACGACACACAAACCCACATAAGCGCCCACTCAGCTGCCAATGCGCCTGATTGATTTTATAACAATCTCGCCGCTGAAGCGATTGCCAGAGCAATTGATGCAAGAAATGCAGTAATAATCGGAGCAACAACAATGAAAAGTGCCAAAGGCAATAGCAGACATTCGTATGCATATAATTATCTATTTGTATATGTGAGCAGAGATGTCACAACAAATGCGATAAAGGTAAATGCCACACAAAGGAAACGAAAAAAATTTCCGCAGTTGAATTTTGAATTCGCCAACGTCTCGGACGGCGGAGCATCGTACAAACTGCGCGCGAGTAGGCGAGGCAAAGCCACGGCAGGCAGCTCCCAGCCAAAGGACACTAAGAACAACAGAATCCCATAGTTGACAAGCGGGAAACAGTGCTACAACTAGAGCTTTGCATTTAACTTTGAATTAGTGAGTGAGTCAGTGAGCGGAAGCGAGTGCTTGGAGGGCAACAAAAGAGCTTTGGGGCCGCAGTAAATGATCGCAAATGTGTAGTGAACAGGAGCGTTGATTGACAAGTTCAATAAATATTTTACATACAAATAAATTGAAGTGTTAAAAGATTCATAAAGAAAGGAAGGAATATTTATCGATTTTCCTTAAGCGGTTGACTTTGTGCGCGTGTTTGTGCAGCGCCGTCTCGGCAACATAATCACTCATACATTTGACTTTTCGTAAAAGCCTTCCATATTGCGTGTTACTTCGGAAATCCAGTAAATAATAAATGAAATAAA